TGACTCTCTGCTCACTTTCTTTTACTCTCTCTTCTTTCTTTTCTTCTCTCATTGCTCATTTTCCTTCTCTCTCTACCTTCTTTTTCTTCTTTCTCTTCCCTAAACCCTCTTCTTCCTCCTTGTCTTTTTTGCTCTCACTCTGTTATTTCCTTTCTCTCTGCTCTCCAGTTACGCACGACGATGCTCATCGCTGAGCATGACATTCTCGTGCTTCCTTTATCTTCTAGGAACATGAACAGTGAGCCGAGCCCTAACCCGAGTGGCAGGCCAGGCCTCTGTCTAAGTTTCCCCTTCCCCACGTTGTGCCCGGCGATGCTCATCGCCGCGCATGAAATTTCTTTTCTCATTCTTTGATAAGGACACTGGACCGAGTCCTTCACCGAGAGGCGGGTCAGGTCATGTCTGAGTCCTTTACAACACAAATGGTGATGCTTAGCGTTACGCGTGTCTTTCACTTTCTTATTTTTGTCTCTCTCTTGATAAGGACAGCAAAACCCAAAACCACCCATGTTCCCTTTTTCTCTCTCTTGCCTCTGTCATGGACGACAGAAGCCCAATACCGTCTATGCTTTCTTCTTGTTTCTCTCTCTTCTCTTTCCCTCTCTTCTCTTCTCTCTTCTTTTCTTCTTCTTTCCTTCTTCTTCCCTTTCTTTACTTTCTTTTCTCTCCTCTTCTCTCTTCCCTCTTCTCGTCTCTTCTCTTCTCTTCTCTTCTTCTTCTTGTCTCTTCTCTACTCTATTCTTCTCTTATTCTTCTTCTCTTGTTTCCTCTTCTCCTCTCTCTCTTCTTCTCTCTCTTTATCTCTCTGCTTTTCTCATCTTTCTTCTTTCTCTTTCTTCTTCTTCTTCCTCTCTCATTTGACTAAGGGATATATCAAGTCTAGCACTGTCACGGTAGTCTCGTCGTCGAGCAGTATTGTTGTCGTGTCGGTCTAAGTTACCGTACCCGTCTTGCTGCCACATTGAACTCGCCGTTGTGCCAGGCTAATCGGTGTTGGTGTTCTGTCGTCGAGTAATACTGCCGCTGTGCCAGTCCGCGTTACCGTGCCCGTCTTGCTACCACTTCAAGTCAATCATCATGGTAATCTAGCCATTGTGCTAGACTAATCACCTGGTCAAATGTCTCTTTCTTTTCTTTTCTTCTCTCTTCTTCTTTCTACCAACCCTCATCTCACCATCTCTTCTCTTTTCTCCTTTGAATGTGCACGTCTGTGTATATTCACCCAAAGACAAGATGGGGTCCTTTGGCCCACTTATCTTATAAAATTAACCATATATGTGTGATTGCAAAAACAGGAGAACACAGGCCAAGGGAGGATATTTTGAACCAGTTAAAGGACTGGGGCGCTTTCTTCGTGTTTTAAGAGGGTGCCCACGACAGTCAGCCCGAGTAAGTCCCGAACCCACCTTAAATTCCTCTCTCATCGGTTGGTATACCTACCCTTGTTCTTGAGCAAGGTTCCTGAGAGAGCAATCTCAAGTCCCGGGTTCCCCTGAAACCCGAGACAGGTGTCGCCCGATCGTCCAGATCCGGAGGGCGAGATCAAGGTACCTAACCAAGGGCTACACGTTTTCTGAATACACTCGACCTTTTACGTCATACGGGGCTAGACGTTTTCTGAATACACCCGACCTTTTACGTCATATGGGGCTAGATGGTTTTTTAATACACCCGACCTGTTACGTCATACGGGGCTAGACGTTTTCTTATCTCGGCTCTTATACATCTCACGAGTTTGATGCTTTCCTGCTTCATCTCTTTTACGTTGCACGAGTTTGATGTTTTTCCTGTCTAGGCACTTTTACATCACACGAGTTTGATGTTTTCCCTGTCTCGACTCTTTTATATCACACAAGTTTGACGTTTTCCTATCTCGACTCTTTTAAGTCACACGAGTTTTACCTTTTCCCTGTCTCGACTCTTTTACATCACACAAGTTTGACGTTTTCCTGTCTTGGCTCTTTTACGTCGCACTAGTTTCACATTTTCTTTGGTTGGCTGGTTAGGCTCGTACCACCTAGAAGCATTTTCTTCTTCTTTTTTTTTTTTTTGGGAAAATTAGTTGGCAGTTTAGGCTCATGCCACCGAGGAGCGTCTAGAAACTTTTGAAAATCCATTAGATATAAGAACAGTTTTTTTTTTTTTTTTGTGGTGGACGACACTACTTACGTCGCCCATAGGAAAAAAACACAATTTTTTTTTTTTTTTTGGTGGGCAACACCACTTGTGTCGCTCAAAGAAAAAAAAACCTTTTTTTATTTTTTTGGGTGGAAGACACCACCTGTGTCGCCCACAGAAAAAACATGTTTTAAAAATTTTGGTGGACGACACCACCTATGTCGCCCAAAGTAAAAACACCTTCTTCTTCCTTTCTTTTTTTTTTTAAGGGGTGGGCGACCCCACCTGCGTCACCCACAAAAAAAAACCTTTTTTTTTTGGTGGGTGACACTAGACACCCCATTTTAAAACTGACAAATTATGTTGTTTTCCTTAGCCCAGAGGACCACACTTTCTTAGTAAACCACCAATCATAGTCCATTCTGCCTACCCTGTGATTCAGAACCATATTGCATACCCTATGACCCAGAATCCAATAGATACCCAGTTTTACCAACAACATCACTAAAAGTAGCCAAATAACTTGTTTTGACCCAAAATTTTTCCAAAAGCATCACAAGAGCCTATAGAACAGTCATGTCTTGAAAATTGGCAATTTCGATCAGATTTGGTCGGAGCGACACTGGTAGTACTGCCCAGCCCAGACTGGGCAACACCATTGGTGTCGACCACTAGTGTGGGCGACCCCACTAGTGTCGCCCACCAGTGTGGGCGATGCCACCAACGTCGCCTAGTGTCGCCCAACCCAATTTGACCCGAAATCGTCAGTTTTTAGCAGGAAAACTCATTGATCAGTCCTGAATAGGAATCTTCCATTTTAGGCAGTCCTTGCTGGGCGACACTGGCAGTGTCGCCTAGCCTAGACTGACCCAAAATGGATGATTTTTTGCATGCAGCATCTTGACAACACCATAATCTGCTTTGCATTAGAAATTTTTGTTTTTGAGTAGTCTTGACATGGGCGACACTGGCAGTGTCGCCCAGCTCTGACTACCCAGAAACAGCAATTTCTGCATGCCAAAGTCCCCCAGCTATTTTGGGTCAAATTTCCTGAATTTGACCAATTTTGTCTGGGCGACACCAATGGTGTCGCCCAGACTCGAGACCCTAGAAATGGCAGATTCAAGCTGGTGATCGTAAGTTGCCCTTTTGAGTCAATTCCCAATCTATAAAATGAGAATTCGTGGCTGTTTGTGGGGGCTTCTTCTAAAAATTAGGTCAGAAAAGAGTTATCTCAGAAAAACCCTAGCTTTGAGATCCTAACTAAAACCCTAAACCTGAGAAGCCTAAACCAATAAACCCTAGTTCTAAGCTCTCTTTAGATCCAAAAAACCCGTCAACCAGATTAAGGTTTGGTCCACACCCATTCAACAAGGCTAAGGCCTGGTCAACATCTGGAGAAAGAGAGGCAAAGAGGATACTGGTTCTTATACGGGCGAGCTCCGAAGGCTCGGGAGTCTTGGGCCATCTGGCCCGATTTGATATACTTCTTTACTCTTCCTTGCTTCCTTTTTTGCTTTATTTCATTTTAATTAGAGTAGACTAACTTTATTACTTCTTTATAGTGTTTCATAGTTCGGATCATGCTGGCGCTGCCACTGATCTGAGAGCAGGTCTGCTTGTCTCTGGGCAGATCTGGCCTCATATCAAGATTTCGATTTTCCCCACTTTCTCTATCATCTTTTAAAATCAGTTTGTGGTGTTCAGATCTGAAGGATCTTCCCCTGAAGATTTGTTTGATTTTGCACTGTAAACAACTTCCCTTTATCCAACTGCCCATTCTGAATATAGGGTTAAGATGGCCCCAATCACAATATCATGTCTCTACACTATTTTATTTTAAAAAAAAATTTCTATAAACTATTTTGATACAAAGTTTTGTACACAAAAACCTCTATTAAACTCACACTAGCGAAAAATATAAAAACAATATTTTCAATGAAATAAAATGACCAAAATATCCTTAAAAGTTTCAAGGGGTATTTTGGTCATTATATTTTATCGAAAAATTATTTTTAATATTTTTTATAGGTGCCCCCAATGAGAAGATGACACGTACCGAATTTTATATTCATACAATTTTTATAAAAAACTAAAAATAAAATACTTTGAGACATCAGATCTAAGATCAAACGGTGAGTGGCTCTCTTGATCAAAATTGGATGGCTAGATGGTATGGGAAGCATAGATCTTCTATGTTGTAGGGTGTAGGGGAAGTAAAGAAACCTTTCCTTAAAAGCTAATATGGCAAGTGAAAGAAACATTTGGCAGCTAAAACAAAGCCCGTGAAAACTTAATTTAACAACTCAACGCTAGGGCTGGCTATGGGTCCTGGTCTAAGCCTGAGCTAGGCCAGCTTTGGCCCTAGTCCAGTTCTAGTCCTCCATAGGACCAGCCTGGCCCAGCTCGTCCCTAACTGGGGCAATGAGCCCTTAGCCCAAGCCCAATCTTAGACCTAGTCAGGCCAAATTAAATAAAAAAAATAGAAAGAGAAAAATAAAGATAAAGAAAGTCGGGCCATGCTAAACTTGGCCCAAGCTCGACACAGCCCTACCCTCAAGGCATGATCCAGGCCCAGGCCCAGGCCGGGCCCTTAGGCCACATTTTGTAGCCCAGACACTAACTTTTCAAGGCCAGGTTAACCAGGCTGGGGCTGAGCCACCCGGCCAATGGTGAGCCCTAGTTGACGCATATTTCTCTAACTTTAAACCACCCAACTAATTTATTGGCCTCTGCTTCCACAAAATTATGATTCCATATATTGACTAGCATTTAGTGATGTTAACCCAAAGATTCTCTGACCTTTACTCTTTACACTTTTGGAGACTGTATAATATAAAAAGGAGATCTCCTTGTGGCCGTTGGACATTTGGTCTCCTAGGCGCTCAGTCCCTGATGCCACCCCTCTTTAAAAGCCTGCATCCACTTTGAGAGAGAGACACTTTGTAAACTCTTCTCTCCCCCTCTCTTACCTACCATCATTTACTATTGGAGCAGGGAGAGAGAAGAACTCCAACATTCAAGAGCTCCACCAGTTTTTGGTAAGTCAATATATTTTATTATTAGTTTTTTTAGTATTATTGATCTCATCGAAGTGGAACTAATTGCCATTGTTAGGATTTGATCTCAAGTTGCAGAGGTCATTTGGTGAGCAAGATGAAGGTGGAAGTCGTTCTTCTTCTTCTCCTTTTTGCTATCATGGCATCTCTTGGTATGTATTCTCTCTCTGTAACTCTTTTACCTAATTTTTCCATGGGAGGAACTCTTTGGGTTCTTTTCTTTTCTCCTTGTTGCTGTCATGGTTTGTTTCTGTAGATTCCTCCTTCTCTGTATTTTTTTCCTGCAGTTTTAGATGGGTAAAACTCTTTGGCTTTTTCTTCGAAACAGTGATCATGGAAGATCTCTCTCTCTATCTCTCTGCTCCAATTTTTGCTTGGGAAAAAACTGGGTCTCTCCACGATTTCAGCTGGGGAAAGCTCTCTGGGTTATTTCTTGTCTATTGGCTTTCATGGATAGACCTTTTTCCACAGTATTTACTGATTCTCTCTCTCTCTCTCTCT